TGTGAAAACAATTTTTAACATTTGTTTTTATAACTTTGGGTTCTAAATTTTCTCCCTTCTTCCCTCCCCACCCACCCTTATTGAGAAGGCAAGCAACTCAATACAGTTTATACATATGTAGTCACACAAAACACTTTCATAGTACTCATATGAAAAACTAACTATATTTCCCTTCATCCTATCCCACCCTCTGTTTATTCCATTATCTTTTGACCCTGTCCCTCCTCAGAAGTGTTTGCTTCTGATAACTCTCTCCTCCAATCTGCCCACCCTTCTATCATCCCCCCCTTATACCCTTCCCCCCCTATTTTCCTGTAGGGTAAGATAGGTTTCCATACTCAATTGAGTGTGTATGTTACTCCCTCCTTAAACCAAATCCAAAGAGAATAAGATTCACTCATTCCCTCTCACTTTCACTCATTTCCCCTCCATGTAAAAGATTTTTCTTATCTGTTTGATGTGAGATAATTTACCCCATTCTACCTCTCCCTTTCTCCTTCTCCCAATATAATCCTCTCTCACACCTTAATTTTATTTTTTAGATATCACCCCTTCATCTTCAATTCACCCTGTGCCCTCTATCTATCTATCTATCTATCTATCTATCTATCTATCTATCTATCTATCTATCTATCTATCTATCTATCTATCTCTCTCTCTCTCTGTCTGTCTGTCTGTCTGTCTGTCTGTCTGTCTGTCTGTCTGTCTGTCTATCTATCTATCTATCTGTCTATGCATAATTTTTTCCCCTCCAACTACCTTAATACTGACAAAGGACTCACGAGTTACAAATATCATCTTTCCATGTAGGAATGTAAACAGTTCAACTTTAATAAGTCCCTTATGATTTCTCTTTTTTACCTTTTCATGCTTCTCTTGAGTCTTGTGTTTGAAAGTCAAATTTTTCTATTTAGCTCTGGCCTTTTCATCAAGAATGCCTGAAAGTCCTCTATTTCACTGAATGTTCATTTCCCCCCTGAAGGATTATACTCAGTTTTGCTGGGTAGGTGATTATTGGTTGTAATCTTATCTCCTTTGACCTCTGGAATATTATATTCCAATCCCTCTGGTCCCTTGATGTAGAAGCTGCTAAATTTTGTGTTATCCTGATTGTGTTTCCACAATACTTGAATTGTTTCTTTCCGGCTGCTTGCAATATTTTCTCCTTGACCTGGGAACTCTGGAATTTGGCTACAACATTCCTAGGAGTTTTGCCTTGGGGAATCTCTTTCAGGAGGTGATCGGTGGATTCTTTCAATTTCTATTTTACCCTCTGGTTCTAGAATATCAGGGCAGTTTTCCTTGATAATTTCTTGAAAGATGATATCTAGGCTCTTTTTTTTGATCATGCCTTTCAGATAGTCCAATAATTTTTAAATTCTCTCTCCTGGATCTATTTTCCAGGTCAGTTGTTTTTCCAATGAGATATTTCACATCGTTTTCTAATTTTTCATTCTTTTGGATTTGTTTTACAGTGTCTTGATTTCTCTTAAAGTCACTAGCTTCCAATTGTTCTATTCTAATTTTTAAGGAAGAATTTTCTTCAGTAATCCTTTGGACTTCCTTTTCCATTTGGCCAATTTTGCTTTTTAGGGCATTCGTCTCCTCATTGGCTTTTTGGACCTCTTTTGCCATTTGGGTTAGGCTATTTTTTAAGGTGTTATTTTCTTCAGTATTTTTTGGGGTCTCCTTTAGCAAGCTGATGAGTTGTTTTTCATGATTTTCTTGCATCACTCTCATTTCTCTTCCCAGTTTTTCCTCTTGCTTTTCAAAATCCTTTTTGAGCTCTTCAATGACCTGGAACTGATTCATATTTTTCTTGGAGGCTTTGGATGTAGGAGCTTTGACTTTGTTGTCTTCTTCTGGTTGTATGTTTTAATCTTCTTTGTCACCAAAGAAAGATTCTATGGTCTGACTTTTTTTTTGTGCTGTTTGCTCATGTTCCCAGCCAATAACTTGATTTTTAAACTCTTAAGGTAGGAGTCTGCTTTCAGTGTGGAGAATGTACTGTCCCAAGCTTTGGGGGTTTTGTGCAACTATTTTTGGAGATACTTCTAGGGACCATTCTTCTAAGGTAGTATGGTCAAGGGTGAGGTGTTTACTCCTTTCCTGGCCTGTGCTCTGGTCTATGAGTGACCACAAGCACTCTTTTCTGCCTTGGAACTGTGAGGAGAATTTCTTCTCCATTGCCATTACAAGCTCTACCACGCCAGTGCTCCTCCTCGTCCCAGGACTGCCACTCAGAACTGTGACCCAGATCCAAGCATGGGCAAAGCAAGAGAATCATGCACCAGCAGAGAGGTCCCTGCAATCACCCTCTGATTAGTCACTTGATTTACCCTCCATCTGTGGGCTGAGAGCTCCAGAAGCAGCTGCTGCCTGGGGTTGCGCTAGGACTAGGGCTGGGACTGAGCTCTCTCACCACAGTCACAGACCTTTCCTACTGACCTTCTAAGTTGTCAAGTTGTCTTTGGCATTTGTGGGTTGAGAAGTCTGGAAACCACCACAGCTCCCCTTGATCCAGTCCCTTGAGGCCTACTCCAGGTTTCTTGACGCCTGATCTTTGCCTGCACACCCATGCTGAACTGCGCTTCTCTCCCAGCCTGGAGGTCAATAGACCTTTCCTATCAAACATCCAGGTTGTCTTGGGCTGGAAATTTGTTTCACTCTGTCTTTTTGTGGATTCTGCTGCTCTAGAATTTGTTTAGAGCTATTTTTTGCAGGTGTTTGGAGGGGTTTGGAAGACAGCTCAGGCAAGTCACTGCTTTTACTCCTATATCTTGGCTCTGCCCCCTGTGTTCTAATTTTAACAACACAATGCAACACCTTGAGTCGTGCCTGTATGATTGTGCCTGTGAATCTGTATATGCAGTTTCTAAGTGTGAAAGAAAAATATATTATGCTAATATACAAAGAAGCATGTCAAGGATCATAATTTTGTAAGGTGAGGGAATGAGCCCCACCTATGAAGATGCTGCAAGTCTAAGACTTAATAGGTCATAGATTTAAAGATTAAAATAGATTAAATGGACCTGAGATGAAACAGTTTAAACCCTTTCATTTTACAGGTGAGGAAATAGGTTCTTAGAGGCAAAGTGATTTGCTTGAGGTCATACAACCAATAACTGGCATAGCTGAAGTTAGAATCTAGGTCCTTGACACTAACGTACTGTTGGTGGAGTTGTGAACTGATCCAACCATTCTGGAGAGCAATTTGGAACCATGCCCAAAGGGGTATATAACTGCATACCCTTTGATCTAGCAACGTCACTGTTAAATTTATATCCCAAAGACATTCAAAAAAAGGGAAAAGGAAAAAGGGAAAAATGTCTATACATGCAAAAATATTTATAGCAGATCTTTTTGTGGTGGCTAAGAATTGGAAATAGAGAGGATGCTCATCAATTGGGGAATAGCTATACAAGCTGTGGCATAAGATTGTGATAGAATATTATTGTACTATAAGAAATGACAAACAATATGATTTCAGAAAAGCCTGGAAAGACCTATATGAACTGATGTATAGTGAAGTGAGCAGAACTAGGAGAATGTTGTATACAGTAACAGCAATGTTCTATGATGGAGAACTCTGAGTGACTTAGCTCTGCTCAGCAATACAATGACCCAAGACAATTCCAAAGGACTCAGGAATGTATGTTATCTGCTTTCAGAGAAAGAACTGATAAGGAATGTATGTTATCTGCTTTCAGAGAAAGAACTGATATTGTTTGAACGCAGAATGAAGTATGCTATTTTTCACTTCCTTGCATTTTAAAAATTCATCTTCTTGTACAAAAGGACTAATATGGAAATGTTTTACATGTTTGCACATGTATAACCTATATTGGATTGCTTACTATCTCAAGGAGGGGGAAGGAAGGTAGGGACAGACTTTGAAACTCAAAACTTCAAAAAATATTTAAAAATTGTTTTAAAATGTAATTGGGGAAAATAATTATATATGTATATATGTGTGCATATACACAATACATACACATATGTATACACACATATATACATGTGTATATACATGTATATATATATAATATGTATATAATCTCCATCTTCCTCTTTCTAAGCCCTGTGTTCTTTTAGTGATGCCATGTTGCCTTCATGTGGTCATTGGTGGATGACCTGGACCTGGGGTTTCATTGGCATGAGGAAATTGGAAGTGAGGAAATTTCCTCTAGTGATGTAAGCTGGCACCTTCTCTGAAACTCATCACCTTAGAAAGGGGTCTGGGTTCTTGAGCATTGAGAAGTGAAATAACTTGTCTAGGGTCTTCTAGATACCATGTTTCACAGGCATAACTTTTAATCCAGGTCTTCCCTGCCTTTGAGGCTGGCTGTAGCTGCTAAACTCCATAGCCTATCATGATCATCTATATGATTTTAAATTTACTTCTGTGCTGTTTATTCATATATGGAGAGAGGGGCAGCATGGTATAGTAGAAAGAGCACTATTGAAAGTCCTATTTAAAAAAAAATAACCTGTCATCAAATCCTGCTTCATATAGTTACTAGCTTTGTGACTCTGGGCAAGTCACTTATAGGAGATGATATACATAAAGAGATCTGCAAGTGTAAAATGTTATTTAACAGCTAGCTAGCATACTTAACTTCTATGCAGCTCAGTTTTCTCATCAGTAAAATGGATGGAGAGGAGAGGGTAGACTCACTGGCCTTTAAGGTCCCTTCTAGCTCCAAAAATACAATCCTATGTGCTAACGTGAATGCATCTTAATGGGACTAGAGGGGCTCTGGGTGTACATTGGTGAAAGTCCATTGTACTGTAGAAAGGGCTCAGTGGGTGAGTGAGTTTTGCTCATGGTTATTCTCTATGCTATTTAAATAAACAAGATGGATGTGAATAAGAATCGAGTCAAACTTTCTGAGAACATTTATTTCTGCCAGCTGAGACTAATGAAGTGTGGAATCTCCTTGCTCAAGATGAGCCAGAGGGAAGAGCCACCTTATTCATCCGAAGGCAGGCCTTTGTCATCCCAGCTGCCAAATTCCAACTGCCTGGATGTCTGCACCTTTTCCTTGGGGATGTCGTGGTTGGTGGGTTGGGGTGAGGGGAAGGAGGGGGCTCCGTGTCTCCAGTGACTAGCACTGCTGTACACTCTGAAGCCGTTTCATTTTCATTTTCTGCCTCCTGGCTGTTCTCAGTTTTTTGGTTTTTAAGAAACTATCCTCTAATTGGTATAGAAAGTCTTCAATTAGCCCAACCTGAAAGACACAAACAAAAGTCCTTATTGTTTCATGTCAAAAAAAAAAAAAAAGAGGTCTCCTGGGTTTCCTAAATCATTTGCATTTCTAAGGACACTTTTGAAAAAGCTCTGGTGAGCAGAAAAGAAGAAAGAAGGGAGAGAATGAGAAAGAAAAAGAATGAAAAGAAAAAAAGAAGAAAGGAAGGAAGAATGCAGCTCAAAATATAAATGATTTCTGTCCTATTTCCTTTGGGGTTCAATTACTTTACCTGGGTTTCCCAAATCATTTGTATTTCTAAGACACATTTTTGAAAAAAGCTTTGGTGAGAAGAAAAGAAGAAAGAAAGAAGAGAATAAGAAAGAAAAAGAATGAAAAAAAAAGAAGAAAGGAAGGAAAAGCACAGTTGAAAATATTAATGATTTCTGTCCTATCTCCTTTGGGGTTCAATTACTTTTTCTAGGTTTCCCAAATCATTTGTATTTATAAGTCACATTTTTGGAAAAGCTCTGGTGAGAAGAAAGAATGGAAGGATAGAAAGAAGAAAGAAAGAAAAGGCAATGAGAAAGAAAAAGAAAGAAAGAAGGAAAGGCACATTGAAAACAAAGAATTTCTGTTCCATTTCCTTTGGGGTTCAATTACTTTACATGCGTGGAGCTGACATGCGAGAGCACCTTTGTTGAGTCATGCATGCTGGGAAGGGGAATTGATCACAAGGCCCTCTTTAAATGGCAATGAAAACCAGCCATTTTAAAAGGAAAACACGAGCCAGAAATTAATCTCAGACAAGGTTTTGTTTCCCTCCTTGTCCTTAAAGAATGCTGGAGGAAAGCAGAGGCTGTGGCATTTATGTGGCACATGTTTGCATGAGAGAAAAATGAGTATTCCATATGGCCTCAGCAAGGGCCATTTTTCTATTAAATCAAAATGAAGTTCTGAATAAATATTTTTTCTTTAAAAAAACAAAACAAAACAACAAATGGCATCCACCAGAGGGTCTAGGGAGAGAATGCAGAGCTACAATTCCAGGAAGAGAAAAAAAAAATCCATCAGTCTTCCTCCAAAATAAACTCATGATTATTCAAATATGCAACAGCTTTGTAGGTATTCTGTTTGTCAGCAAAAACTTGGAAGTAAAATAGATTGCCATTCATTATGCAGCAATGGGATCACATAAAGAGGCAGAAATGCAAAGGTGTGTGCTTAATGTTCGGGCAAAGCACAAAGGAGCTCCCCATACACCACCCATCTCCCAAAGCAAGCCTGGGCCTGAGTATTTCCTTCTCAAGATCCATCAACAAAGTGCATGCTCAAGATGTAAACACTTACAATTCCTATCTTCCAATTGTGAATTACACTTTTTAAAGGCTCCATTTAGCCTTTGGAGAAATAGTGAATGGATTATTCAGCTTGTCAAAAAGAAAAGAACAATGGGTTATAGACACATTGCAGCCATCGGAGTCCTCCATATGTTATGTACGGCACTTAGCGTCTCCTTGGCTTTTCTCAAAGAAAACAAAATCAGTTTTATGCTGTGAAGACAATGACTTCAGGATGAACAGTGTGCATATGGACGTGGGTATTATATACATCTCTTTATGTATGTGCAGCGATACAAATAAGTGTGGGTTCTGTGGAGGTACTATCAGTGTCTGGGGTTGACTGTTTAACAATGACAATTGCCACATCTTTAGCATGTTAAGGTTTACAAACTCACAACAGTCCTGGGCTGTTGTTATTATTATCTCTTGCTCTATGATGAAATTAAGATTTACTGTGGTTAGCTGACATGCTCAGGGTTGTACTGCTAACAGAACCCCACAGCTCAACACCTCAGGTTTTGGGCTCATATGAACTGGATTAAGTCTTGTGGGAAGGCTTGACCCACAAACTACTGTCTTTGAGGCATTTTGCCTAGATTAAGGGTTTCCTATGGGAGCCTTAAATATTTTTTGAGGCTTCCAGAGTAAAATATTTTTGAGGTTCTCAGACTGGGGGCAAAAAGAGCCAATAGCAGTGATTTAGTCTATGGTGAGATCTCTCTCTCTAATTTATCTCTATATTATCTCTCAT